TCCTCCTCCTCCCTTCCTCCTCTTTCTCCTCCTCTTCCTCCTTGTTCTTCTTTCTCCTCCTCCTCCTCCCTTCCTCCTCTTTCTCCTCCTCTTCCCCCTCTTCCTCCTCTTCCCCCTCTTCCCGCTCTTCCTCCTCTTCCTCCGGGAAGTGAGGGACGTACTCATGAGAGAAGTAGGGTGGAATTTGGTGTATATTTTGTGTATGTGCCTAGTGGTTCGAACCGAAGTACCATGGTGTTGAGGTTAGACTACTGATCGATGGGGGAGATCGATGGGAAGACGGAGAATGTACATTTGGTGAAGGGTATGATTCGTGTTTGTCAGAGTGCGAGTTCTCGTTTGGGTGATGGTGATGATTCTTGTGTCTGGGATTGCGAGTTCTGCCTTCTTCCATCCAGATTCTCTATCCTCTCGAGTTCTTGTTTCTTCCATCCGATTTCTCTCTCTTTTTTTGGGTTCCCGGTAGGTACTGACGCTTGTTGTCGGTTGATGATGTCCTCTCCGCCTCATGTGACCTTCGCTTTGGCGTCTGAGTGTGTGTGAAGAGTGGGTCGAAATCGAAATCGAAATCGAAATGAGAGAGAAAGAGGTGGCAGGAGAGAAAGAGAGGACTGGTGAAAGGATTGAATCGAAATCGAAATCGAAATGGGAGAGAAAGAGGTGGCAGGAGAGAAAGAGAGGACTGGTGAAAGGATTGCTGAAGGAAAAGAGGGGCAAGTTAGGACGTGAAGAGGAGAACGTAGACAGAACAATGAGAAGGCGGTGCCAGTAGTTTGTGAGGTACAGTGTTCGACGGCGAGTCATGGCGGGAGAGTACGTCAAGAGGTTTCCCCAGCGAACAAAGTGAAAAAAGGCTAGATGCGGCTCATCGTCGCAAGAGGTATCAAGTCGACTTTGTTTTCAGTTCTTTTTTTTGTTGTGTGTGTGTGTGTTGGGGCCGGGTGGAAGATGCAGTAAGAGGACAGAAGGCGGGGCATCTGTTTTCACATGCATGTTGTGTGTGTGCAGTAAGGACAAAAGGCGGGACATCCGTTTTCACATGTGTGTAGTAACGACAAAAGGCGGGACATCTGTTTTCACATGTGTGTAGTAGTAAGGACAGAAGGCGGGGCATCTGTTATCACATGCATGTTGTGTGCAGTAAGGACAAAAGGCGGGACATCTGTTTTCACATGTGTGTAGTAAGGACAAAAGGCGGGACATCTGTTTTCACATGTTGTTGGGGGACACGAAAAAGTAACCGGAGATGGGGTGAGGATGAAGAAACAAAGAAAATCAAGTTGGACCGAAGTGAAGAGTGGCGTTCGTTCATCTGGTCGACGATATAGTTGAACACTGCATGTGCTGCTTCTGCTGTTTCTGCTGCTTCTGCTGCTTCTGCTGCTGCTGCTGCTTTTTTGGAGTGTGAAATGATCTGCCACGTTAAACGCAGAGAAGTGCTAGCACTTCGCTGCGTTTAACGTGGCAGATGGTTTCACACTCCAAAGCAGCAGCAGCAGCAGCAGCACTTTGCTGCGTTTAACGTGGCAGATCGTTTCACACTCCAAAGCAGCAGCAGCAGCAGCANAGCAGCAGCAGCAGCAGCACTTTGCTGCGTTTAACGTGGCAGATCGTTTCACACTCCAAAGCAGCAGCAGCAGCAGCAGAAGAAGAAGAAGAAGCTGCAGAGGCTGTTTACTGTTGATTGCCTGTGGAGTGTGAGGCTAATAACAGAGAAGCAGTCGTGGGGAGGTGGCTAGGGATAGGTATAATACAAGAGATGCGGCGGGAATAAGAATATGTGGGTCGTGTAAGAAGAGTAGAACTTCCGCAGTTCACACGCCCTGAGACCAGTGGAGTTGTGTGCACACGTATTTCTGAAACCTTACCAAGGACTCAAACGGTTGTCGAGGATCAGAAGGCGTAAGGAAGGATGAGAAAGCTACGGACCGTCTTCACCCGAATAGAACGCCGTCGGTGATTATAGCTGCATCTGGACTGAAAGTTTCCCTGAAATGCAGCCAGCGATAATCACCGGCCGTTCTATTCTCGTGAAGACGCTAGGGTGTCTTTTAGAAGGGTTAGGCGAGGCCCTCTGTCTTTAGAGGGGTTAGTCGACAACCCCTCTAAAGACAACCAAGGACTCGAACAGCAATCAATCGATCGAATGGAAGATGGTGTGCGCGGAACGGTTCATGGCGGTTGCAATCGCTACCTTCTTCCCCTGAATACAACGTACAGTCATTATCGCTGTATTTGGGGTATCTTTCAGTCTAAATACAGCTATACTGACCATACGTTCTATTCGGCTGAAGAAGGTAGTGAAAGGAGGGGCCTCGCAGTGGACGTCTTTTTTAGTTTTAAACCACTAGTACCTTTCCCGCGTGGGAAGTTTTCCCAAGCGCCTGAATTTTCGGAGGTCGGGCCCGACGACGACTGCCATTGATAAATCTGATCGGCGGCTGTCGTTTCGTTTCGGCCGCTGCAAAGGTCAGATGCCTACCCGAGGCCCGCTATTTTCCAAGCGGCAAAGGTACTAGTGGTTTAAGGAGGAAGAACAGTGGTTTTGGCATGGACGAGAAAGAATAGACAATAGAGAATAGACAATCAGAGAATAGAGAATAGACAATCAGAGAGAATAGACAATCAGAGAGAATAGAGAATCAGAGAATAGAGAATCAGAGAATAGAGAATGGAGAATAGACACTAGAGAATAGACAATCAGAGAGTAGAGAATCAGAGAATAGAGAATCAGAGAATAGAGAATTGTGAGGCCTATACCTGGTCGTCCAAGCAAATACAATAGCAATAGTTCCTTTGTTCAAATCTTTGCCTGGGCGCAATAAACGCTGACAAGTGAGTTTGTGAAGAAAGGGGGACCGAAAAGAAATCGCTTGCGTGAGGATGGCCCACTCAATTTAATTTCTCTTCATATTTATGGTCCGTTGGCTCATTTACTACTGTACGCTCCTGTCCTTCCAGATCTTCGCGTGCAAACAACTCATCATGTGGACTAACCCAAAAGGATGATGAAGTGGACGCAAATGGGAATACGTCAGACTAAAAGTGATCTTCTTTCTGTCCCCTTTCCTCACCTCACCCTGCTTTGTCATGCAAAAATCTACCGCTTTTTGTCTGACGAATATTCCCAGTTGTGTCCACAATGTATCTCTCTGGATCATCGCCGCGTTTTCATGAGGAAACGGAAGACGAGTGAAGTGGAAGCAACTGGGAATGCGGCAGACAAAAAGCGGAGAAGCTTTCCCTGAAGTTGAAAGGGAAGGACGAGGAGCGATGTGGAAGGAAGAGCGATGAATGGCGATGAACCAGAGAGATACATTGTGAATGGAAAAGCGGAGAGAGGAGAAGAATTGTGCAGTGACTACCGTCTTCACCAGAGAGAGTAGAATGCCCAGTCATTATCGCTGCATTTGGTCCGGAAGTTGGCCCCAAATGCAGCAGCCAGCTACAATGACCGGGGCGTTCTAATAGGGGTGGAGACGGTAGGGATGGTGAAGCAGATAAGGGGTTTCCAGCATATAGCGAAGTGATTGAACTCTCATGTTGCCATGAGAGGGACCCATCTTGAGCCCACACAATAAATCCAAGAACTCCAATACTTATCATAAATAGGGGTCGGGAGTTGTGTTTTCCCGCCCTCCATACGTTATGGGTGGTGATAACGAAATGAAAGCAGAAAGATGTTATGGAGGGGTTGTGATGACAGCAGGGATTAATGAAGAGGGTTAAGAGTTAGGAAGGGTGAGAGTGAGTAAGGAGGGCTTGTGATGATGACAAAGAGATGGGGAGAGCGAGCAATGAGGCAAAAAGTCACAAGCTTTCGAAAATGGGAAGAGATGAAGGGAAGAAGGGAGAAGGGCGAAAAAGAGCAAGGGAACGAGGGAGCCAATGCAGAAGGAAAGAAAGGGAAAGGGGGGGGGTTCGCTGCAGTACGCTCCAAATATGTGAAATCGTGTGTACCTACAAGTAGAGAAGGTGGAAAAACATGCATTTGGGAAAAACCTTTTTGTCTTTTTCTCATGTGCTAAGTGGTGGAGCGCGGGGGTGGAGCGACGGGGCCACAAAGTGAGTCGAAGCAGCATTTTGCATGAAGGGAAGAAATGAAAGAAGCCAAGCAAATGGAGGCGGCGGCG